CTTTTAAGTTTGTATTAGTTTTTACTGTTGTAATTGTAATTTTTAATAAAATTACTATTAAAAATATCATTTTTGGTGGTATTAAAAGTGCTTAGTACTGTTAATCTAAAGAAACCTGTTATTTTTCCTCAATTTAAACTTTGCAAGTATGTCTTTTAAAAAGTCTGATCATTTTCGTCATCTAGCTAAGTTCCTAATGGCCAACCTGCCAACTGAGTGCTGCATTGCGCCATAGTTCAGTGATCTTTGTTCCAGTTTCTCTCTTATCTTTATAGCTCTCCTCAAAGCCCCTTCCAAAAAGAATCTCCCAGAGGATCCGACCACTGCAGGGACTGTTAGAAAGTCATGACTGATGTCTAAGTTACACATGTAGCAGACCTCATTGTTTGCTGTGTCTCCTTGAGGTCTTCAGCACCCTTCTTCTGCCAACTTACGGTGATTAGGACTTATGTTGTACCATAGTTCTCTTTCAGATAGGAGAAGCCAGGCGGTGGGAGACAGCTTTGGAGGAGGGGAAGAGGGGGCTGTTGGCTTCAGAGCCTGAAGTCTGCAGAGGAAATTCTTGGAACATGGAGAGATTGCTAGAGAATGGGCTCTTTCAAGACTTCTGTCAAATTCTGCAGGCAGTGAAATGAAGGCGGGGCCACTCTCTTGTGGTGCTAACTTTCCCTTTAGCCATATTTTTCATGCCCTGCAGCTGTTTGCAGAAAAGAAGTTTACTGCTTATTTTCCACTTGAAGATGACAAGAAATCTGCCTTAAAAGATCAGTAATAAGAAGTTGCAGAGCAGTTGCAGTGTTTCCTATCACTATTGGACCACTGAAAATGGAAGAATTTTGTAGAGAAAGGAAGAATCTTTTTAACCGAAGGCCTCATAATTTGCCATCATAGACATCAATTTTGCTTGTACACAGGAATCAGTTCTTATCACTGCCATGTCAACAAGGTTGTTACACAACCTGCAGTATAGACTACAGCAATTAGCTGCTCAGTCCTAGGTGGAGGTAGATGTGCATAAAGTCTCCTACAAAGTGATTGAAACTCCCGGTGACTTTATGGGCAATGTCCATGGTCTCTTGGCAGCAGTACAGAAATGGTTTGCCTTTGTCTCTGGAATATTTTTTCAGCTTCCCGGTCAGACTGTTCTGGTATTCCCCGGAGCTCTGTGCTTGATGCTGCATAGAATGAGCTGTAAAATGGCAGGAGGAAGTCAGAACCTTCCACTTGAGATGGGGAAAAAAGCTTTAGAAACTGAAGATGGATGATGTATGCCAGCAACAACATGGGGAAGGGGGAGAAATAGCAGAGATTTGCAAAATACCAGATAGAGTGGAAAGCCTAACTAGGAAGAAATGTTATGTTCCTTTTCAAACCACAAAAACACAGGACCATCCGGTGCAGCTTAGCAGCAGCAGGTTCAAAATCTAATGCAACATATAATAAATATATGGAATTTATTTATAAAATACTGTATACAAGTTGTGTCCTCTGCAGAGCAGCATCTAAAAAGTACACATACAAAATATGTAAGTGCACATATAAGAACCACAGTTAATATACACAATAGTTAGGCAGAAAACCAATGTCCCAATAGATGACATTGTTTAACTGAAAGAACCTGGAGCATGCCAACCTTGTAAGATCAAAGTTGTTGGGCAGATACTATGGGAGACAGATGGTCACTCAAGTAACCAGGCCCTATGCCATGATAGTGACAGTGCTGCAGCCAAACTTGTTCCATTCCTGCAACAGTGCTGTGATTGGCAGATACTTCGAAAGAAGGGGGCATCTTTCATCACTCTTAAAGGCAATATGCTAGGCTAGTGGTCAGGAAGAGGGGATGGTTGCATGGAAAACTATTCCCATCACCATCATTTACCAGGCCTGTAGTGCTAATACCAGCTCTGAGAGATAAAAGGGACCTCTGATCTTTAAATTCATCTAGAACTTTCAGGTGCAAATGAGAACGTATTCTGCCTAGTTCCCTTTATCTACGTTACACTACAGAGTAAAAAAAAAGTTGATCAATTCATCAGATGGGGACCAGATTCTGAAAGGCTGTTTGGAAAAATAAGAAGAGGGGAAGTGGAGCAAGTGAATGTAATAGTTTCAACCTTTTAATAAAATAATGGTAGAAATCCTATATACTGAGTGGCTTCAGGGCAGACAGAACTTCAATAGCTGCAGCATCTCTTTCCTCACAGATGTACTGATGGGAAATGCTTCATTTGTACTTCTATTTATCATATAAATATTGAAGGCAAAGAAGCATGGTTGTCTTCTAACATTTTGCAAATAGAATTGGGGATACGTTTTAATAGTAGTACCATTAATTTCACACTGCCTCCTTGTAATTCTATACTATATTAATTGAAGGTTTCAATAGCTAAGCCAGCAGTGATGTTTATTCTTTAGGGTGAGTGAGAAAACACACATAACTATCTTCCAATCAGTTATCAAGATGAGCCTCACCAACATGTGGAATGACAGGTTGTTCTACAGGGCACCCTGTTACATATGCAAATCTTTCTTAACCCACACGTGAATTAACTATGCCTGATCCAGACTAAGGGTCTCAAAATGTTTTCACCGAATCAGTATTCCTCCACCCCACCCCATCTTCTCTGCGGTTAGTTACTGCTGAAATTACAAACTAGAAAAAAAAATCCTAGGAAACTTTTTAAAAGTTTTGTAAAGTTGCATTTTTATTTGTTTAGCCACACTATGCTTTATAAATCTTTTTGCTTTGGGCAAACAAAGTATAAGCCCCAAATAAATAATAACCGTCTTTAGACAACTCTTCTCTGCGCGAGTTGTAGCTTTTAAAGGCGAGCAAAAATCTTTTCCACCTTAAAATGTTCACGTTCTTACGGCTTCGGTAAACGAGTGGATAAAAGGAAAACTACATTACCCACAACCCCTTGCCCTCACGGAAACTTTGAGCATGTAGCTCGGGTTTCCCCAACTTTGTGGTTTCCCTCGTTCGCGAAGTTAAGGGTTATTTCCGACGCAACCCAGAAGCGGAGCTTCAGAGCTCCCTGGAGGCGGGATGGTGGCTCGGGCCGCACTGCTCCTTCTCCTGGGGGCGGCGGGAGTGGGTCCAGCCCCCTCCCTAGGCTCGCGGGGGGACCGAGAGCCCGTCTACCGGGACTGCCTGGTTCACTGCGAGAGGCGCAACTGCTCTGAGGCCGGGCTGCGGCACTTCCGCTCCCGCCAGCCGCTCTACATGAGCCTCACAGGTACTGAACGGCCCTGCGGATTCACCGCCGCCGAGGCAGGGCCACGCCCATGCCGGGGACTAAGTGCGGGGGTCCTTGGAATGCCTGTTTTGCATAGCCCCGCCCATCAGGAGTGGGCCCCGCCCAGTTCCCCGTAGGCCGGTTGTTCCCTCGATGGTGCCGCCGGCTTGATTTTGCTAAGCCTGTTTCGGCGCTTTCCCACCGTCGCTGCCTTCTTGGGTCGTCATGGTAACTGTGGAGAGGAGAGTATCTGGCTGTGTACGGAGCGTGTTCTCATACTGAAGGAACCATCCCTAGAAGTAGCCTCTATTCATGGGACAGGCTGAGCCAGGAATTAACCAATCATATTTTATACTCTTCTATTGGAATCATATTTTAACCCAGTGTTTGTTGTGGGAACCGAGCCTCCCAGGTTACTCTATGATTCAATGGACCCCGTGCACTGGGCAGTCCGGTTAATTAAGCTGAGGTTCAGTTGACCGGGGCAAGTTAATTGTTCAAACGGAACCACTGTTTGTCTGGTGTGCAGACAGCTTTTGCAGATCTCCATCTCTTATTCCCTTGTCTGGAAGAATAAATAAGGCTCTGGTGAGGCCTCAGAGAAATGGAGTAGATCCATTTTCAGATGGTTGGGTAGCTTACAACCTTCCAGTTGGCTAAAGGCAAATAGGAAAACTAGGTTAAATTCACTAAACATGGTTGGTGAAAATATGGTTGACCAATTTGTAGGGGATTTCAGCAGGTGGCAGCACTTGACTAGCTTTTCAGGGCTCTGAAGATAAGCTGAGTTGGGCCTGTGTAGACCACAACAAATTGTGGACAGCCCTTAAAAACATGGATGTAGCAGTCCACTATATTTGTTCGAATGGAATATGGAGCAACTAGATGGTTCAAATTTGGGAAAGGTTTGTGTCAAGATTGTATGTTGGTGCCTTACTTATTTAATATATGCAGAATATATCATGAGAAATGTTTGATTAGAAAAAATAAAATTTGAATTAAAATTGCTTGAAGAAGAATCCATGACCTCAGGTACGTTGATGGTAATGCCGCTTTGATGGCTGGAAATAACTCTTAAGGTATCTTTTGTTGAAGGTGACAAAAGAAAGTGCAAAAGTTGGTCTACCACTTGGTATTAAAGAAACTTAAGAGTTTGTCAGTGCCATCCCAATGCATATAGGCAGAGAAAAAACTGAAGTACTTTAGTTACATACTTTTATCTTCCTAGGCTCAAAAATTTACAGGTATGATAACCATGAAATAAAGAAACATCTACCTGGGAGAAGGTCTATGACAGATCTAGGCAAAATATTGACATATGGGATTTCACACTGACCACAAAAGTATGTATTTTCAAGGCCATGGTTTTCCCAGTTGAAACATGTCTGTAACTGGATTATCAGACAAGTCAAACAATGCAAAAAAGATGACTTTGAATTGTAGTGCTGGAGAATACTGTTGGACCATAGATGAAGTAAAATCAAACTGCTCGCTGGAGATACTATTAATGAAGCTAAAGTTTAACTCTTTGGATACTTAATGCAAAAATAAGAATCATTGAAGACCTCGGTGCTTGGAAGAATCAGTTGAAAAACAGGCTGATAGCATCTGGCTGTCTCATCTTCTATCAGTGATGGCATAAGCAGGAGCTTACAAGAACTAGTATTACTGAGAACAATCCTAGCAAAAATGTGTCACTGGGCCACAAAGAGAAGTGACAAAACAACTGCCTAGCAAGAAGTACTAGGATGGGAGACTTCCATTGAATTCCAGAGCTGTAGACTAACCTGGGATGTCAGAAAAATATCCCCAAAGAA